GATGTCAAGGGAGGAGAAAGTAAATGATCAAGTCTTCCTAACAGGGAGAGTGATTCATGGGAGAATGGTCTGTAAGATGCACTTTCTGCTTCAGTCTAGGATTTTACCAAGTGGAGGCAATGAGAAGCAGCCTTCCAAAGAAGAGAGGAAGGTACAAGTCAAGTCATATTAGGAAGTCATGAGGCCCCTAGAGAATTTGAAACAGGAGCTAGAGGAAGAGGGGGAGCTAAAAGATGCCACTAGAGACAAAGCAGAGGAGAGAAGGTGAAGGCCCTTAATCGCCAAGGCGTTTAGATTGTAATCCTGCGGCAAACAGTACAGTAAGTGAAACAGTCTTTCAACAGTGGGGAGAGACATTAAGCCCTTTCAGTGATGTACTGATTTCTAGTCCCCTCTCCACCACAGATCCCATGAGAACGGGGATCTTGTAGTGACTGAGGATGTTTCTCCAGAAACCAGAAGAGCACTTGATACATAGTAGGCGTTTAAAAAATATGTTTGATGGATCCCTCAGTGTTCAAAATTAATGGTTGTCCAAGTGTTGGCTTGTGATGGGGAAGAGAATAGGAGTAAGAAAAACCAGAAAACGATTATTGTAATACGTGAAGCAAGAGAAAACACAGGCAGAAGGTGGGCGGTAATAATAGATTTTCTATAGAATCAGCACAACTTAGTAACCTATGGACTCACAGGGCTTTGATAAAGTGAGAAGTCCAATATGGAAACAGGGTTTTGAACCCAGGTAACTAGATGGATGGTGATGTTTTAATCAAGACGGGAATATAGGAGGAAAAGAAAATTCAGGGGAAATGTTAAAGTTTGGATTCAAACTCACTGAGGATAAGACTCATTTGGGACATGCTCTGGTAGTCACCAGGCAGCAGAATAAGAGGAAAATAATGCCCCAATTTTAGTTCTTATCTTGTGAATAAAAATAATTATTTAATATATTATAACTTTGTTTGACTTTACATCATCCATATCTTTTGAATGCCTTAGAGGAATAAGAAAATTATTTCCTTTATTATCAAATCCATTTGAGATTATAATTATAATTCACTATCTCTACAGCAGAAACAGAGGAGGTAGAAATGGATTAAATAATTGGCTCAAAAAGTCCTGAATTGTAACTGGGGGAAAAATACAAGCAGCCTAACTGTCAATCCAAGTTATCACCACAAATTTTATTACCTGGTAGGCAAAATATAGACACAGTATAATGTTAAATAAACTAGGATTGATTTAAATCTCTAATAGAGTTTTGGGGTTGTTGAGATTTGTTTAGATTCTTGATATTACTGACTGCACATTAGAAATTGCCAAACTGATAGAAAATACTACATCCAGCATAAACTCATTACTTATATGAAAATGTTAAATCTCTGTAACTCTGTTCTTTCAAAAAACTTCTCTGAGGCCAAAAATAAACACCACTATTTCACTCGCAAAATATTTTCCCAACATTTCCCAGCAAATATTTACATAATGCCTCTCCTTTGTTTTCTTTAACAGCCGCACAAGAAAAGTATAGTCTTATGATCAGATGGTTTCCCAACATCTCCTGTATCAAAGTCACCGTTAAGTGTCGGGAAGCTGCAAATTGGAAAAAGATTCATTAGTCAATAGTCCACAAAAGTCCCAATTAAAGAAAATAATTGTTCTTCTCTATAACAAAAAGATGATATGGGATTTTGTGATTCATTGTGCTCAGAATATAAATAAGTGATTTCCTGCAGGATCTCGATTCCAATGCAATTTAAAATATCCACAACCATTTCTGGGCTATTTATGAAGGAAAACGAAAGAAATTCATTTTATGTGACCTGTAGAAGTATTTCTGAAGAACTCTTAAATCAAACTGATGAGGCTTCTGAAAAAGATCTGAAGGTTTTGAGACGTGACTAACATTCAGGAATCCTGGAGTTTGTCTGTTGACTTCAGTACAACGCAGATACTAAGGTAGTTCTGTGACATGAGGCACTTGGAGTAACTGGCTAAAATTGTAAAGAAGGAAAGAAACTGAAATTTTTGAAAATATAAAAAGAGAGAATTACTTCCAAATATATTTTCCAAACACAATAATACAATATATAATTTTTACATATTTAAAAATAATACATAAAAAGCACTGTTACCAGTAGACTTCTCTCACCTCACCACATATTAGAATACCATCCTAACTTGCGTAAATTCCCTTATCCTTATCTGGTTTCTTGATTGTACGATGTAATCATGCACTGTCAAGTTGCTTGTAATCATCACAGTGTAACTAACTTCCCTACAGAAAACCACTAGGAAACAAATTACAGGTTAGATGCCAGCAGTATTCTAAAAAAACAACTCCTTAGTGTAATAACAGCCGCTCTCACTTGAAGCTACTGCACAAAATACAAAAGATGCAGAGCTCAGGTGTGAAACTTTTAATTCACAGGAAACCGAGGGAGCCTTCTTGTGACTTTTCATTATCTTTAATGAGAAGATGAAACTTGTCACTGATGAATTTTAAGATTGCATAAAGTATCTCCCAAGGAATTATAGATAGAACTAATTTCAAAGTACTTTGTATTCACATAGATCAGAATCTTGCTGAAATGCTTCAGTGTTACTCTCTGAGGAATTGTGAAACTGATGAGAAAAATCAACTTGTTTCTGTGAGGCACCTACTCTGCACAGCTCTATGGGACGTGACCTTGAGAAACCCAGTGAATGGGGATATGAAGCATCTACGGGAAGATAAGAAAGAAAGACAACCTAATACAAAATGAGGCACAGTATTTCGTGGTGCAGAACACGAAATGTTCTGTGTATGATGGTGTACAGCACAGTAGACGTGATGGGAATGAGAGTATCAGGGTGAGAGACTTTCAAGAAGGAGGTTCTGTGTATAGATTCTGGGGAGGTGTGAGGTGTGATTAGGGAGAGGAGCAAGTTGGGAGATAATCCTGGCAGGGAAATACCGAAAGGAAAGGCAGGAGGAGGCAGGATGGAACAAGTATGGCGATAATGACAACTGACGGAGCAGCCGACGATAAGGCTGGTTAGGAGAGAGGCAGTCCATCGCCGGAGAGCACTAGGCCGGCCTCCAGCTCTGATCTGTGAATCGTGTCTGAGAGGCACCCGTGGCAGAAGGGAAAGAGCTCAAGCTCTGAGACAGACTACCTGATACCGCCACTTGCTGGCTGTTGACTTTGGGCAAGCAGTCTAATTGTCCATCCCTTATTTCCTCACCTGTGCAATAGGGACACCAGTGGTGTGTATCAATGTGAGTGAGTGCTTTTTATCCATAAAGCTACATTCGTAGGGAAAGAATAAATATTTTTTTAAATATATTTTTATAAAACTGAATATGTTTCTCTGGCAGCCATGGTCAAGACGGATTGAGAAGGTGTGACTGTGGGCAGGAGAAGAACTTGGGCAGTCATTGTAATAGCCAGCTGTCCCCTAACATCTGTCCTCCATTATCATTCAAACTGGAATACTGGTCTCGGAATTTTTGTATATAAGTATAAAAATGACCTTTTATTTTCTGTACCTTGCTAACCCAATGTTTGCATCAGACTCCGATCTCCAAGATCTCTGAAACCAACGGCCAAATAAAAGATTTCATGACAAACTTTCAGATTTAAGACGTGGATCTTCTAGATCCCTGCCTACAATAGTGCTGACAGTTCATCTGACCTCAATATTTTCTGATAAAGTTTTTTATCTGTATTTGGATGAAATTAATGACTTTGAGGAACATTGTAGAAATCCACTAAAATGGAAAACTTCTTTGGGTCCTAACTCTATGCATAATAAATTGGAGCTTTATTACTACATTTAACCTTTACCTCATCTTTCTTTAAAATACAGATTCCAGTGTAAAATCTAGCATTTGCAGACATTGTACTAATTTGCTACAGTCACCCTTTCTAACCCACAAGGCTTTGAGTTCATAAAAGGGACGTGAATTACAATACGAAATCTGCTATTTCCATCATGGGTACACATAATCTCTTTCTAGATCTACTTTGTGCTCATGGGGAAAAACTCTGTGCACAGTGCAAATTGAATTGCTAAAAATTCGAATGAGAAGCAAGAAATATAGAAGTAAAAAATAAGTATGTCATACATGTTTATTTCAGGTAAATATCATTTTCCCTTCATCTGAAATGAGGTTATCTTTTAAACTTGGGAAACTGGGCAGAACAAATAGATTCTTTTCTTTGAAGCAAATCAGTTATTTATGTCAAATATTCTGCCTAATAGAGGTGTATTGGGAACTGTAGCAATTGCAAATAGATATGATAAAAAGAAAGAAATGATACTCAGCTTCTGATTTTAGCTTCTGCACTAGACTGCAAAATCAGAGCTACTTATTTGTCACGTTTGCCGTCATTGTTCTGTTGATCTAATCTATGTCCAATAAAGAGATGATCAAGAACTATTACAAATCCCACCAACTTTGTAGATTCATCAATCTGCTGACATTTTTCTATTTAAAAGCCCTTAAAAGCAGACTATGACCGATGGTTTGTAATTTCTTAGAGAGAATTTATGAATTTCTCCTTTCTGCTTTGCCGTAGGAATATTTCAGAAATGCCTGGTCTAATGTAATTCAGCCGTAATTACTGCATCACTTAGGAGAAGTCCCACAGCTGCCAGAGCAGCCACAGTAACTGCTTCCACCCTGGCTTCAGCTGTTGATTGTCTTTCAGGGAAAAGCTCGGGACAAAAGGAACATAATGTACACAGTGGTTGCAGGGCTCTAGAAAAGGAAATGCTTAATTCCTTCGTAATCCATATAGGAATTCATGTTCTTTTTATGAACTCAAAGGAAAAAATGCTATTAAGAAATGGAGAGATGCCTGTGTACATAATATGAGTTCTTTTATAGAAGCGTGTTGGAAAATGAAGTTCCTATTAATAAAATACAGATAATTTAGCTGCTGGAAATCTCTAGCTGCAGCACGCATTCTGTAATTGTCTAATCCTTGTGTGTTCTCTTGCTCTTCTTACAGGCAGACCAGTAATGATCGTGGTGGAGTATATGGAGAACGGATCCCTAGACTCCTTTTTGCGGGTGAGGTGTTCCTCTCTGATGGCATTTAAATAAGCTATTTTGAGTTCTAGATTTAAATCATTTATCATAAATTAATTTTTGCATAATGTAATTTGTGAATTTTTCCATGAAGAATAGCGGCATTTCTCTGGTGCTGTGATACATTGGAGTGTTACTCAGGGGGGAGTATATATACATAATGATATACTTGATTTCTCCTATTCATTCACTTGCCGTGTTAATGTATATATATTTATAATAATATATATATTTCAAAAGATGTTATAAGGAAAGAGATTAAATGAAACTCAGTTGCATCACATAGCCATTCATCTGCCCTTCTCACATTAAATTACCTAGTGTGATATTTTATGCATTATCTATAATGCTGAACCTCTTAAATTGATGTATATTTACCAATAATGACTCAAGTTCATATCAGAAAACTGGTTTATCGACTTTGTCCCTCTTAAGTTAATTTGACTGACTATTCGTAAAACAAAAGGAGAAAGAATAAAACTCTAGCAGAGATTTGTTTTAGAACAAAAGTTTTTAAAGCACGCTTTTTAAAGGGACTTATCCTTGAAAGTACAGTGTATGCAAACATCATTTGTTTTATATAGTAGTACAGAAAACAGAGCTGAGAAGGCACCATGAGGGTACACTTCAACATGTATTTATAACGTCTTTAACATTTACAAAGCCATCATATGCTGCAAAAATATTCATTGATAGTGAAAAAAACAGAAATATAAAAAACAGTCACTGGAGTAAGTATTTTTCATCCCCAGGAGAGGTCACGTACTTGCATGTCACCCTGTTCTCTAATATCTTTCTATTCGGACACATGGCCATTTTTCTTACTTATAAAATGACTGGACTTTTACTATTTGGAATGTGTTATATTCTTCTTCTTCATTTTCATGCAAATAAATAGTTTCAAGCGTTCTTTCTTCACTTCATTATTGCTCCATGGTATTTGGACAAGTTCTGTGCACCTCACCCTTCTCTCTTGATCTCATTTTCATTTGTTTTTCTTGATTCCATGCCCTCTTCCTCAACTGCTCTCAATATTAGCAGTGATGATATATTTACACTGTGACTGGACTTGATGTCCAGATTCAACGCCAGAAGCTGAATTCAGCAAAATCACCAAGCTATTATAGAGCAATGTTCCTCACGCAATGCGTGCTTTCAACCCAGTACACTCTTTAGGGCAAAATGAAATTCATAGGTGTTTGCGGACATGAACTATTTGTTCTTTTCTGTAGCCATTCTCAGAATGTTATTTTATAGCTTGTATTCATTTCTCCTGTAAGTGTGCTAAATTACTTTAGAATAATTTGTCAGGAACATCTATGGTACTTGAAATGCGTATATACTTACGGCCTTCAGTTATGTTTATTCAAAAACTCATTTTTATGAGATACATATCAAAATGACTTAATATCTAATGATGCTTGGCATAGGTTTGTTTTTGGGTTTTTTCTTTCTTTTTTTGGTATCAACTATATCCTGGAGCTGAATATAATGGCAAATAACGTTAACAGATATTCAATCTAAATTGCTGCTGAAAGTTGGATCAAATGCCTGCCACAAGCAAACTAAGAGAGAATGTCAGCCTCAGGTATACTTTTTATCCTGCTGAATCATGAATTAATTAAAATATGTTATAAAGAAAAGGTAATATGTTATAAATAAAAATATTTACTTATAAACATCCTACTACATGTTTATAAGTGGTATGTTTCATGATTTAAAATTTGAAAACTAATATTTTCCGGCTGTCATGCACCGTGTAGGAAGACACCACAGAGTCTAGGGAAGCCTAAATGTCCAGTGATGGTGGCTGCCATCACTGGTCCCACGAGAAACTTAGCACGTATTATCTCGGCTCACCTTGGCTCTGCCACTGACCAGCTGTGTGACCCTGTGACTTCGGCAAGTGACTGACTTCTCCGTGCCTCTGTTTACTTGTGTATAAAATGGAAATATTAACAGTATCCACCTCACAGAATTGTTATAAGCATTAATAGAGTTGATTATTGTAAAGCTTATGGGATAATGCCTGACACATTGTAAGTTGGTGGAGCGAGGATTCAAACTCAAGTCTCTGATACAAAAAGCCATGTTCTCATACACTATGAATTCTGTCTTTTTATTAAATTACTTATTACTTCCTATAAGTCCACTGCCATCTCCCCCAGGTGGTCTTATGTCACCTCTGCACATAGAATTTCTATTAAAATAAAAATCATACGAATGGGGAAAAAAACAGAGGACCAGGGGCTGGCCCAGTGGTGTAGCGGTTAAGTGCACATGCTCCGCTTCAGCGGCCCGGGGTTCCCAGGTTCGGATCCTGGGGGCGCAGCGATGCACCGCTTGTCAAACCATGCTGTGCTGGCATCCCATATAAAGTAGAGGAAGATGGGCACGGATATTAGCCCAGGGCCAATCTTCCTCAGCAAAAAAAAGAGAGGAGGATTGCCACCCAGTGTTAGCTCAGGGCTAGTCTTCCTCACACACACACAAAAGAGGGCCAGTACTCCCTTTTTACCCTTCTTTAAGAATCTTACCCTTCTTTGTAATCACATCTCATTTATCCCAGAGCTCAAAGTGCTTTATAAACTTTATGTCAATAGCAGAACTCAACTCCCCATGGCAAGCAGAAATAAAATATATAAATATATATATCCCACAAATTCTCAAAAGCAAAGTCGTTTTTCAAACTACCGCTTTAGAATTTGATCATTGCAGCTTCTGTGAGCACAGAAAGGAGGAAGTGGCTAAGTGCATGGCGTAGTGGGGGACCATCCATGGCTCATTAATAGTATTCTGTGCTGACTGGAGGCAGGAAAGATTTCCCTTTGGGCTCCCACACTGTGTGAAAATCACTTCAATTTACTGTTCTATATGAAGGAGTGGTAGCAAACTAAGGACGAGATTACAATCCAGTGCCACTGGTGGTGGCTGGCTGGCTGTGATACTGCACCAGATTCATAAATCTTACTCAGTTTCAGACCCTTGTGGACATTCCTCCAGATATATATTGGCAGGAGGTGGTGTGGTTAAGAGCATATGTTTGTGTGTATGTGTGTGTGTGCACATGTGTGCGGAGAAGGGGTGTGGGCGGGTATGTAACTATGTGTGTGTTTTTAATTTTAAAATAAAATGCATTCTGACGTAGCAAGCACAGCATCAGCCTGGCTGCTGGGAGGCATGACCTCACTGATGTGCAGATTTTCAAAACTTGTCCAAGGGCATACACGAGTGTGAATTAAGTGAGATATTGACCACCATCTCTGTATGGTCTCTCTTCAACTATGCATATGGACTTCATAAACAATTTTTTTGGCACTTACCTGGTAACTGCTTGTCCATAAATTTTTGGACCTCCATTTTTATAACAATATTAACCTAAAATCCAAAAAAAATAGTTAAAATGTATTTTAAAACTTTGAAATGTGATATGTCAACCACGAAAAAATTATTTGTTTATTTGATAACATTTTTTGAATGTGGATTTGTTTATTGTATCACAAAATTCAGTTACACAAAAATATGATACCATTGGTTCAAGATAGTACATTGTGTTCATGCTGCATCCTCCTGCTCCCACCTCAAATCCTTTGACATGAGAGAAAAGATGTAGGTACATTATTTACAAAGCATGTGAGCAAAGAAAGAAGAGTGTCATCCATAAAACAAAACAAAAATGGGAGAAATTAATAAATACAAAAAGCAAACAAAATCAGACTGAGTAAGGAAACCATAGCCTAAAACATGCTCAGGAAAGGATGGTTGGGAGCCAGAAGAATGTATGCAAGGTGGTGCTACCAGCTGAAATGAAAATACAGAAGAGAAACAGGATGGCTGGTAGCTGGGAGAGATGATCAGTTTAATTTCGGTCATGTTACATTGGAGATTCCTATGTAACATGCAGTGAAAATATCCAGACAGCAATTAAAAACACAAATGTGAAGCTCAGCGGAAAAATCTTGACTAAAATTAAAGATCTGGGAGTCAGTAGCATAAAGGTAGTTTTTAAACCCAAACCATGATATTTCCTAGGAAGAACTTTTAGAGAAAGAAAAGGAGTTGAGCAAGGTTGTAACTCTACGTGTTACCAACCTGAGGAAGCAGCACAGATGGTGTCTCCAAAGGTAAATAAGATTGAATGGTCCAGGAGGAGCAAGGACGGACAGGAGAATGTGGCATCCCAGACCTAAGAGAACAGAGCGATTCAGGCGGGAGCTAAGGAACAATTGTATGAAGTGCAGCTGAGAAATTCTGAAAGACAGACTGGAAAGCATGGATGGCATTTAGCAGTTAAGAGGTCTTCCGTGATCTCAACAAGAGCACTTTTAATGGATTGATCCCAGGTAGAAGCCAGATGCAGAGGGCAAAATGAGAATGAAAGATAAATGGGAATTGGTAGGTGGAGACCATTTTTTAGGGAGAAATGGGTGAGATGGCAAAGCCAGAGATAAATCAGATGCCAGTAGACAAAAAGAAAAATCAAAGGAATTTTTTAAGGTAGGAATATGATTGAGACAATTTTTACACTGAGGAATGGGGAATTTAAAAAAATAAACTGGTAAGCCAAAATATCTCAGGAGATAGGAAGGTACAACATCAAGGACCTTGGTAGAGAATTGACTGAGTAGCAGAAGCCTCCACGTCTTCCAAGACGGAAGGGACTGTGTGCCATGGACCTAGAGAGATTTATGTGGAACAAGCATTAAACTGAAGGAAATGATACCTGATGTTGCATTTCTATGTGAAGTGGGAGGAAAGTTTATGTGGGAGTTTGAGAACAAACCTTCATTTAAGGTGAATGTTTAGAATACTTGCTGAAGTTAAAAAGAAAAGAAGCTAATCAGAAAAAACAGCAGGACCACCAGGAGCAGGTTCTACTCCAGGAACAGGTTGTCTGGGACCCAGCAATGGCAGCCAGCTAAAACTATTTCTCAAGATTTTTAATGATATGCAACCTAAGTGACCAGGGGAAGGATCTTCTG